CTGACTTTTTCTCAAAAATACCAAAATGTTGACTATTTCTCAAAAATCTCAAAATTCTGACTTTTTCTCCAAAAACTCAAAATCTGACTTTTTCTCAAAAATTTGACTTTTTCTCGAAAATCTAAAAAAATTGACTTTTTCTCAAAAATTTGACTTTTTCTCAAACATTTGACTTTTTCTCAAAAATCACAAAAATCTGACTTTTTCTAAAAAATCGGACTTTTTTTCTACAAAAATCCAACTTTCTAAAAAATCTCAAATCTGACTTTTTCTCAAAAATCTGACTTTTTCTCAAAATTGTATATTTTTCTGGATACTTAATAATCACTGTTCCCCAGTTTGAGCTTCAATCTCAGGATCCATGTATCTGTGATCCTCTCCAGAATGGAAGTAGTCATCACATACAGAGCATCAACTAGTTCCTGAACAGTGTCCTTCACATGCTGATATCCAAGAGAGGGAGTTACACAGTCACAAGATGGAGGAATAGAAAGCAGTATTCAATGTTTACTTCAGATTAGCTCCACGTCAGAAATGATCGTGCTTTTCATATGTCTATCTCCATAGAGGCTGAATCATCATGTTAATCACATAGCTATCATATGCCTCAAACAGTCCTGATGCTCTTCTAGGTAATCAGACATCCTCTCATGTTCACAGATACGTAGGGCCTTATCATGTGAACTCTGATATTGGAAGAGTACATTCAGTATTTTCCCAACAATGTGCAACAAAAGAAGTGCAGACTAATGAGTTCATACCAGCTGACCGGTGATCCAAAGAATCACCCGATTTCCTTAAAATGTAAATGTTATGTAAATCTTTGAAGAAGCACTGCCATTGTGTGAAGAAAGCAGAGCGCTTCAGAATGAAATGCTCTATTGTGCTTTATCCGGATTTGCATGCTGACTGAGAGTGTCCGGCTCTGATTTTCGTATTTAATAAGATGTATCTACAGATCTACATAACACTATAATCCAAGTTGTAGCATGTAAGAATACAAATCCCATTCCTGTCAATGTGGTATCTGGTGAAAGGCTGTTTTACAGTACCCTCTGTATGCATAATGTGTTCAGGACGCATTACGCATGATTGCACATTGACCGTGATGTAACCATGTTGAGTATAGACCATTATCCTGCGAACAAAAATATTTAGGAGCAGGCCCATTGGTGGTGTGGAGAATATAATCTGAACTTGACGTGCAGCAGTTCTGCTTCTCTTTCTTCATTACTACCAATTGTAGTTGAACTGGCAGTGTACTGGAGGAAGCACTCAGATATATCACTAGAGGAAAAGTCCTAATGTCACAGAGTAGAAAAGAAGCAGGGAGTTCTGCATTCAAATCTTCACTTGAGTTAAAGTACTCATTATGCAGAATGGCCCATTTCAGAATACTAGATATCATATTATTGGATTATAACTATCGATGCGTTAATATATTTATCACTTTAAAGTAGCAGCTGGTAATATAGAAGCCATTTCTTACTTAAATCTCTCCAGGGTAACTTGTAAACTTCACCAACAAATGCAATGTTAACATGAATGTGCCAATCAACTGTGTTGAAGTGGAGTCAAGGTATAAAGTAGCAGTACATGGAAATACTCAAGCAAAGTACAAGTGACTCTAGCTTTGAATGTTGCTATGAAAACAATTTACCAAGGCATAAAATCAAATCAAATCAAATTGATCAGAGCCCCAAATCACAAGAAATGCCTCAAAGGGCTGTACAAAGCAGACAAAAGCAAAGACAAAATACAAAATACAAACGTCATAGTATAAAAATTATAAAAACATTATACAACATGTTTCCATCAAGATTACACTGTATCAATGTCTAGCATTCATCAGTTAGCACTGAACTAATCTCCTGCTGCTGTTTGTTNTTCTCAGCAGGTGCAAAGCGACCAGTGACTCTGACAGGCAGAGCTACAGTGGTGGTTCTTGCTAAGAGAGAGGCTGACGATAAACCTGATGACTGTGTGATTTATCGGTATGGCTCCTTTTGCACCGGCATCGAAGTGTTTGGTGAGTTATCTTTCATTAGTGATATGTTTACGGGGGCAAATGAAAACTATAAGGGAACTTGGAGAACTCAGAACTCCGCCAAGGCCTTATTCCCTATCTAAACTAAGATAAATGTGACTTGTGTATCCACTCCACAATTTCATGCGTTGTCTCTTGGCCCATGCTAGACATTTTCACCAAGTGTAATACATATCAGGCCATGAGTGTTTCTGTAAAAACAAACCTAACACCGAACCTAGTTGGCCAATGAAACCTATGAGATGATATAGTCACTTCTTGTCAAGGATTGGTTGTTGGTGTGTTAGCGGTTAGATTCCCAGGCCAATGCAGTCAACGTAACATACAAGTGTACTAGGTCAAGACACTGAACCCTGAATTATTGTGAAGATTAGTTTCCTCTGTATGGCAGCTTCTCTCTTGAGTGGTCGGAATAAGTGGTCGTTCTATAAATGCAGTCCCTTTGTCTTTTTCAGAGGCCATTGAAAGAGTAGAAATTGTACAAATGGACAACTCTGTGATGGCAACACATAACATGGAGAGAAATGTTTTGGATATCACTGTCACCTGCCAGGGAAGGTACATGCATTACACTTTATCAAATACTACTTTACAAAGCATTTAATTGTTTGTTCCCACTCTGACTGGAGCATGTTCTTCCTCTAGCCTTCCTAAAGAGGTGTGCAGCGTGATTCTGGACGCAGATTGCTTGAAGCCGATTCACACAGAGTGCAACATGGTGGAACCCTCTAAAGAGTGCCAGCTGGTGCTGCGTCACTTCTTCAATGACTCTGGTGTCTACTGCATCAACGTGTCCATGGCCAATGACGTCAGTTTAGCTGTCACCAGTGCCAAAGTCAATATAGACATAGGTACGCAAAAGAACCAACATATTACAGTGTAATTAATAAACAATTCAGTATGTTACTGCTTCACTAATCATGTGATTCTTGTTTCAGCTTCAGGTCTGTCGTCTCCAGGCACCATCGCCATGGTGTTGGGTTTCCTGGTACTCGTTGTAGCTTTAGGAATAGTGGGATTCTCCTACAAGTAAGAACTGCTTTCACAATAACAATCTTTATTTTTTACTTTAAAGTTCCATTGTGTAGGATTGATTGGGATATAGTGGTGAGGTTGCAGATTCAAACCATTTAAATACCCCTCAAATAATCACTTTCTCCCTTTCCAAACCTAAAGAAGAAGTACAGTGGCCTTCAAGTAAAGTCAAAACATGAACGTCCCTCTTTAGAGACAGTGTTTGGGGGTTTCTATTCTAGGATATTATACTAGATACTGTAGGAGGATGTATAAACAACGTGGTGAAGCCAAACTTGAAGTCTGAAAAAGTGAAACCATGAGTGCCTTAAAACTGCATGTTTTCAAATACAAACAAAGTCAGATTGTATAGAAGTCTACGAGAAATGTAGCCTATTTCTCAATTGATTTGTGACCCCAGTATTAATTTTGTCTAATAAGTTTATGGTGTCAATTACTAGTTTCAAGTATTCTTCAATAAAGTATTATGCTTATTTGTGAATTATTGTGTCATTTAGAGTAAAATAGTCAATAAAGCAGCATATGATTAAGGCCTTGTGGTCGACCAAGACGTTATTGGGTCCTGGTGTTATTTGAGTTTTGTATTACAACTTTATATCTTTCATAGTATGTTTCGAGTTAGTAAAATAATCTTATCGTTTGAGTGTCCTAAAGAAATCTTTGGTTGTACTTAGTACCGCCCTCTTTTGTCCCTTATGGCAGTGATTCTCAAACTTTTTTCAATAATGTACCCCCTTTGAAAAGAAAATTCCGCCAAGTACCCCCTGATCAGCACAAAAACAATTTGTTAGGAAATAAATGCCTATATAAAGAGGTACAGTACAGTGCTGCACCATCGGTGTCTGATTTACATTGTAACTGAGAAACACTTAAATGCTACATTTCAAATGTTTAAAATCCATCACTAAATTCATGGCAAACTAATTTTAACATCATGCAATAACACTGAGACGACATGAGTTGCATTGAACTGATCTTTTGAATAAGTTGTACCTACAATGTAGTGAGAAACATGGGCTTGTGCTTCACTGAGGATCTTTGTCATTCTC